CCGCAGCCAGGGCAGGCGGTGGCTGTCCCGGCCGGGAAGGGCGCCCTGCGCTCCCGTGCCCGGAGCACCGTGGAGCGTACTCGGGTTTCAGCAAACATCTCCTCCCCTGCCCCGGCGCAGCCTCTCCAGCCTGTTCCTGGGCGAGAGCTGAACTTTGCGCGGGTCTGGAGCGGGGAGCTCTCGGGGGTAAGCGGAACCCAGCCGGACGCGGAGCTCGTCCTCCCTCTGCTTCTCCCAGGTGTGCTGCATTATACATTTCCCCGAAACCGTGTAATGGAGAAATGTCAGGCGACTGGTCTCAAGGGAAGGATCTAGAGAATTTGAGTTCCCTTTGGTACCAAGCCGGAAAAGGGTGTGGATCTGCCAAAATCCCTTGTGCTCTCGGAGGCATTAGGGCGACTGAGTTCCGCTTATGAAACTGATTAAATCAGACACTCGGGAGGGGCTGTGATCCGTTACTTCCATCCTACCTTTAATAGAAACCAGACGTTCTTTTGACATATAGTCCAAGAAAATTGCAGGTTTATTCCTGGACCTGGAAGCTCACATTACGGTGCTGGCATAAAGCTGGTGGTCACACCTTCAAAAAACAGACTTTGTATTGGGCTAATGATAAAGCTTACAGGGCAAGGAGTCCATCTGCTGCCTGGCTTTCTGGTGAAAGGTGTGCCCAGGAAGGATTCATCCTTGGGGAGTGAAGCCTTACTCTCTGCTTGAGTGAAGTAGTTGTTGGTGGAAACAGAAGTAATTTCTACTGCAGCTTCTTCTCGTGGTTATTTTTCCTTTAAGTGGAGACAGCTCTGTTTACCTTTTCTCATATCCCTCATTCTGGTTATCTCTTGGAGATTTGGTGCAAGTTCCTAGCATGTTCAGGAATGCATTGCTAGTCAGAACAGGATTCACCCAGTCTGTATATTGACGTGCTGAGTGGCTCTTCATGACTGGCATACAGGTCTGTGTAGGGCCAGTTTAGTGTCTCACCAATGTGATCTTTAGTAAACCATGGGAGCTGGACTGAGCCCACTGCAACAGTTGCATTCCTGGACAGTGGCAGTGTGACTTCCCAGTTGTTGGAATAGGCTACAGCAATCCCTTAACATTTTTTCTTTCCTCTATAGGAGAATTAAAGGTGAACTGCAAAGAAATTGTGAAAAGGATCTGCAGTTGTGCCTGGTTTGTTCTTCTGAGCTCTAAAGTGTATTGGGACAACCAAAAGTTAAAGTTGTGATCTGACTTGGAAAGTAGAACTTTTAGTCTGAGCAATGTGATTTCATCAAGTCTTAATTACACTGCGTCTGTCTCAATTTTTGTTCAGCCTTTCATACTGGACAAGATCTAATTAACAGTAAGCAGCTGAACAAAAAAAAAAGTGTGACCCTTTCTCTAAGCTTTTCTGTGGTGTACAGAATTCACCACGGAAAAGCACACCAGCTGTTTTCTCTCTGTGAATCATTGTTAGTCCCAAAATGGCTCACTTATTGCGCTAAAGCCATTCACCTTGGGATGCACGCATAATGGAACAGTGCTGTGCTGATACAACTCCCCTGAAATAAGTCAGACTTTCAAACACAAGTGAGAGTTGTTTGTTTTTCTTTCCTCATTATCTATGGGTGGATTATCTGAGTTGTGGATTAACTGTGCCATGGATACAGACGTCTGCGCTGGCTCTGTCCAGAGTCAAGCTGGTTAGGCAGGACTTGTTGGTTCAGGCACAGTGCCATGTGGACAAAGCTGCTCTGCTTCCAGGGACAGTTTTAGCCCAAAAGGAGTTTGGTATTGAGCCAGGACTGGCAGGTTCAGAGGTGATGTCAAATCAAATCAGCTCAGATGCTTCCACACCCCACTTCTGAATCTGTGTGGTGCAGAAATGAGCAGTGAGTGAAGGGCCTTGCTGGGCATGAGGGAACCCATCACAGAGACCATTGGTGTTTCTGTCCTTAATTCCCTTTGTCAAAAATCTCCTCCCTCTTCCTAGAGCTGGAAGATTTGATCAGTGTATACTTGTCCACTGTCAAATGGAGGTCCAGAAGTATCTCAGTTTCGTGCTTGAACTGGAGTGGTTATGAAACATGTGAGAATGGATTTGTCTTGCTTTGGGGATTCATTTGGAGTTGAAAAAAGTCTTCATTCTGCTTTTAGCCCCTTCCTTGGTGTTGAAGAAGCTCACACA